GTTTTAATATAGCTGAGTTTTAAAATAGCCGCACTTACACAAAGTAGTATGCTGAAATTTTATAAAAGTGTTTCTTGTCGATGTGCCGTCCTTGATTTCTCGTACACCCAGGTTTTCTTTTGAAGCGGATGGGATTTTTAGCAACAATTTTTCTAACTCGAGCATCTTACAAGACACAAAACTGAAATTTAACTTAAGTGTTTTTTTCTCCGCGTGCGACTCTGGAAGTTCAAATTAAGCCCACACCTACGACTATGTCTCGCTTACGATTACAGGCGGAGAGTTATTGACATCTTCCTAAACCGGGCAGAATTGCGCAAAACTCATGGCCTCAGCGGTTAGGTGTTTATTTCTGTTACATATTTTTGGCCGCTTTTGTAAACATTTAGTTTGTCCGCTAGCGAATCAGGCAGGCATGTGAGTGAAAGGTGTGTGTGTGTGTGTGTGTGGTGTGTGTGTGTGTGGTGTGTGTGTGTGTGCGCGTGTGTGTGTGTCCGGTATATAAATGTTTCAGGAGTTTCTAAAAGAATCAATGTGCGAGTGCAGATGTATGTGAAGCTAAATAGAAGGGTGACCAATTGATTTTTTTGCGCTCGTTACTGCATTTAATGAGTCTGCAGTGTGGTAAGAACTGTGTGAGTGAAGTAACTGTTTTTGGGCTTTGGGTTGAATTTGACTTTACAATAGAGTAAAACTTCTGAAACAGTACGCAAGTTTCGCAGTTTCAGGAACTGATTATGGATCGTTTGCGTTGGGATGAACGGCGTACCGATGTAGTGCTGGAGCATCTTGTGAAAGAGGGCATTGCTTGGATTGATAATCAGTCAACAGATACTGTTCAGTATTGGATTCCTAGTTTGTTCTTGCAGCAGTACTGTCATTCAAGCAGTTCAACAAGTGTTTCCGATAGTATCGCTTCTGTTGCTATCTATTAAGCTGAAGGACAGTTGCTTGCATCGTTTAGTGCTCTTCCCCCGTTGATGGTCGCACGTGTTCTGGTCATATAACTTCCAGTAGAAGCGATGTTCACTAGACTTTCGGGTTTACTATGAAAAGTTGTGCTTGCCTTCAATCAAAATTGAGTTGCTGTTCTAAATTAGCCAGTACAAAAGCTGCTCCTTGCACTAGCATTTCAATTGTCTTGGCGGCTATTTTTGATGGGCATGCTTAGCAATATCAAGTGACTGAAATATCCGAGTGAGCCGTGGAACCGCAGGCAAGCATGCTTCTGAAATCTGGATCATTCCTTTTACCCTTTTAAAGCCGTGCATAGGCACTCATGGGCAGGGCAAGGGGGTGGGGGGCGAGGATCTGCTGACAGACACTTTATCCCAGTTTTTTCTCTCAGTGACTTGTCCTGCATAACGGCATTCAAAAAACCAAATAAATTGCGCTTGCGCAGATGTCACGCACTGTCGTTTCAGAGGCTTGCTGCATAACCGCAAAGTGAGTTCATTCTTAGGCGAACTGGAGCAAAAAAAAA